CCTGGTTTCAGAATCAACTGTGAGAAGCCCTTGCCCTTTCTCATAATATTCTATTTTACAAGAAAGACAAACATAAACACGTCTAGGCCTACCTTCTATATCTACTGCAGCTATTTTTGAAAAGGTTCAGAAACTTTGAAGATACTAGGGATAAAGCATTAAAAACTTTGACAGTGTGTGGGGGTGATCTGTTGTTTGGGTCAGAATAGATATTTCTTAGCTATTAACGGATTTGGTATATTTGGATAGGAAGTGTTCCTCCCAAAGCTCTTGTGTTAATTCAGGAATGTTTGAAGGTGAAATGATTAGATTTTGAGAGCTCTAACCTTATTAGTCCATCCTAGTTTGAATGCTCCAGGTGGTAACTGTGGGCAGATAGGGCATGGCTGGAGGAGGTGAATCTCTGGGACATACCCTGGGAGGGTTCTTCTTCCCTACAGCCCTTCCCCTCCTCTCCGTCTGTATGTCCTGGCCACCATGAGGCAGCTGCTTTCCTCCACTGCACCCTTCAGCTGTGATGTTCTGCCTCACCCTAGGCTCAGGGGAATGGAGTTGACCCATCATGGACTGAACCTTAGAACCATAAACCTGATTAAACTTCCCCTCCTTTAAGTTGCTCTTGTCAGGTATTTTGGTTACAGTAATGAAAATATGACTAGCACATCAGCCTAGGCTTCCATAAAAGAATACCATTAACTAGCTAGCTAAATAGTAGGCATTTATTTATTTATTTATTTATTCCAGAACTGTAATTCTGGAAGTTGGGAGTTCATGGCCAAGATGCCAGCAAGTTCAGTTTCTGGTGAAGACCTTTTTTTGGTTTGATAGCTGACTTCTTGCTAGGTCTCACAAGGCCTTTCCTCTGTACCACCTTAGAGGTCCTTTCTCCAACTAACGTCACATCAGGGACTTCAGCATATGATTTTTGGGGGACACAAATATTTAGTCACTAACAGTCAGTACAGGTTTATGTGCTTCAGATAGAAGCCTCACCATCTGACATGGAGAAGAGCAGAACCACTCATTTTCCTTCAGATCCTGGTTAAAAAAAAAAAAAAGCAGGACTCAAAAGTTTTCATCCAGGGTATAGCTGTGGGATGGCAAATATGGGGGATGTCAAGATCATGATTTTAGATTTTCCCTCCCAACATGCAACTCCATGACTGTGCAATTTTCCTGCCAAGAAGGGAAGTTCTTGGGCCCTTGCTCATCTCCAATCCCCCAAATTCAGGGCTTAGGGTTGTCTTAACTGAGAAACCTGTGGTATATGATTATTCAGTAGTTCTCAGCGTCTCTGGAGTTTCTCCATCCATTATAAGAGGATGTCCTTAGAAAATTGTACTAATTGGGCTAAACTGGGATGCAGGGACTCCCAAGGAAATCTAGTATTTAGGGACCCCAGGAACCACTCAAGTGGTGCCTGAGGCAGGGCAGCAGTCAGATGCACATGCACACTTACCAAATAGGGAATTGTTTTTCTCACATACCAGGGAATAGGGAGATAAGAAATCCTAGACTATTAGAGATGAAGCTTCTGTCTGACTTTCTAATCTGCCATCCTGCACGTGTAGCTTTAGTTAAGCTTGCAATATACTTGGATATCAACTCTCTAGGCATCATGTCTCATTTCCTGAGAGGAAGAAAGAGGGGCACATCAAGTTGAATCCATCCTCTTTAACAATCTTCCCTGTAAACCCCACCTTATAGCTTCCATTTGTGTCTTAATTGGCCACATGTGATTCATAGGCCATTCCTACCTGTAAGGGATGCTGGGAGATGAACATTTTAAGTGGCACCATGCAACCCTGATTAAATTCAGCATCTGTTACCAAGGGAAAAGGGAGATGGCTGCTGGACAGAGAACTAGAGTGTCCCCTGAAGTTCACGTGTTGGAAAATTAATTCCCAATGTGGCAGAGTATTAGGAGACGGAGGCTAATGGGGGGCATTTGGGTCATGAGGCACCTTCAAGCATGAATTAATGCCATTATCAAGGGAGTAAATTCCTTACAAAAGAACACGTTTGGTCACGTCTTGTTCCCTCTCTTTCTCTCTCATTGTCTTTCCATTCTTGGATGATGCAGCCTGAAGACTCTTGTCAAATGGTAGCCCTTTGATCTTAGGCTTTCCAGCTTTCAGAACCATTAACCTATAAATTTCTGTCCATTATAAATGACCCAGTCTCTGGAAGTCTGTTATAGCAATACAAAAAGACTAAGATGAGTGTTTTCCAAAAGATATTCTCTACCTTCAAGCAAGTGGGCTCCCTGCTGCAGGGTAAAGCTCAGATAAGGAAGACAGCTATGTCCTCTCTGCTTCTCTCTTCTCCTGAGCAATTCAACTCTAGCCCTGACTCCCCAAATACCACCCAGCAAAACTGAAGCCAAGAAGCTAACTGCATTGTTCAAGTATTTGTTCATTCAATAACAGTTTTCTCAGCAACTACTATGTGCCCAGCAATTGTTCTATGAGCTGGGAAAAGAGTGGTGTGGAAAAGAAGTCCCTAACATTCTGCAACTGATATTATGTATTGTGACAGATAAAAATCCAAGTAAACGAGCAGCAGAATTATGTGCTCTAATGGAAGATAAAATGCCATCAGGGGAGAAAATGGAGAGGGATTATTGGACAGCATAACCTGGAAGGACCTCTGTAAGGAGATGATTTGAGCAAAGACTAGACAAAGTGAAAGAAGGACCACGAGGCTCTCTAGGGAAGAGCCTTCCCAGAGCCCAGGCATCCAGGCTTGTTCTGAAAAGAGGACATAGGTCTGGGGGACTAGGGAGCAGGGATGAGGGCAGAGTGGGAGAAGATAGGGAGTACCTAGGCAGGGCCACAGCATGTGGGAGACCATGGTAAGGTAAACAGGGACATGGACAATAGGCCTCAGTGAACTTCCCTTATCTACAACTGTTCCCCTCCCCGCCCTCCTGCCCTGCCCTAAATGATCCTGCCACCAAAATTCCTATGACCTGGCCCTGCCCCCCAAAAGGGTTCTCCAAAAGTAACTATTTCCTCCATGACCTGGCTCTGCTAAGGCCTTATAAAACCCAGACCCTCAAGGTAGCCTGCTGCCATTTTCCCCCCGAAGATGTGCCCCTCTGGTCCATTGAGGTCTGCCTCCATTTTCTTTATTTTATTTTATATTTTTGTAGTTGTAGATGGACAGCATGCCTCTTTTCTTCCTTCCTTCCTTCCTTCCTTCCTTCCTTCCTTCCTTCCTTCCTTTCTTTTTTGTGGTGCTGAGGATCAAACCCAGTGCCTCACACTTGTTAGGCAAGTGCTTTGCCACTGAGCTACAGCCCAGTCCCTCCCTTTTCTTTTTGTATTTTCTTTCACGTGATTTCAGTAGGGACTTGCGATATTTCTCCTGCATTTGATGAGAAACTATTTACCAGAGAATGAACTCTTCGGTTTTTTAAAAGCTCACTCTAGCTGCTGTGAAAAATGAACTATCAAGAGAGAGAACACAGAAACAATTAGGAAACAGCCCAGAAGATTTGTGAATAGGGCGGTGCCACTGAAGATAACAGGAAATAATAAGAGTTGGAATCTATTTTGAAGGACGTTAAAACTGAATGTGGGGAAGAAGAAAGCAAGAGGTGCCAAGGGTCATGTCAAGAATTTCTGCCTGAGCAAGTGAACACCTCTTCCCTCAGAAAGCTTCTGGGAATTTCCATTTCTCCCCTCTCCTTACAAGTTCCAGGAAGATTTTAGGGCTTTCAGTGATTGATGTGCTGGCAGCTGCCCAACTGTGCTGCTCCTTAATGTAGCCCTGGTTACTATTAACAGTCCAAGTATGGAAGTTTGAGGAGGGTTAACTTTTTAAATATAAGCATAGCTCTCCTGTTTGCATTTTAATATGCTTTCCTGAGTGAAAGAGAAAGGGGCTGGGGACAGCTCATCCATCTTATCTCTGCCTGTGGAGCAATCTTTGGCTGCACCTAGAACTGTTACTGTCTTAGCAACGTGCTTGTGGAAGACTCGTGCACCTAGGGATTGTGTGCTCTTTTGCTTTTCATCCAACTGACAATCTGGATTTTTCTTGGGTAGATCTTGTGGGGAGCTGGGGCATGTCTTATATTGCTATCCTCACCCATCATCTGTGTCTCTCACTGGGAAAAAGTGACTTTCTTTGGTAAAGCATATGGTACAGAATGAGTTGCTTTAGGATATTAACAGGTGTTGAATAGACAACGAGGCTATATTTACAAAACAACAATCAGATACAGCCTTGTTTTCAATTTGGTGGAACAGCATTGAAAAGAAACCAAACTCATCTCTATACTGCATTCCCAAGACATCCCTTTACTTGAGAGTTCCAATCTGAAATCAGGATGTTTTTTAGGCTCTCACATAGTTGGGAGCTGAGAAAAGCATGAGAACCTGGTTGCTAATCAAGGAGGGATTTCATAATGGAGGACTTCCTGAGGAAAAAAAGCAAGAAAACAGGGAGAGAGCCAAGGCAAAGTGTCCAATGAAAATATGCAAGTGCATGGAGAAAGGCCCCCACAGTCTTGCTTCACTGGTTCATTGATTCCTTGTATATTAAATGAGCACCTGCTGTGGGCCAGGCACTGTTCTAGATGCTGGGTAAATGAATATGTGGAACCTGTGCCAGTCTTCATGGAGCTCCAGGGGAAGACACTGACAACATACATAAACATATGATAACATACACATGTTCATCTACAACATACACACAATGACAACATACATACAGTAGATTTTGTTTAAGCATATGAAAGAAAAAAAACAAGCTGTCCACCCTATTAGGGGAAAATCTGTTAGCAAGAACATCTCTGGGTAAAGTACAAGTTCTGGTTTCAGTTGTGTGTATTTGGAGGGAGGTGGGGGTGGACACAGGGAAATGGGTTAAGAAAAGCCTCTCTTGTTTAAGTGGCCTCTGTGGAATCAGGCTGCTTAGAAAGGACAGGTGAAGGTTCAGGTTAGACCAGCCATTCTGCCCCTGAGGTTAATTCAGTTTCCCTCATGATTCTTCCAGCCGCTGCAGGATTCAGTTCAATAGCTGAAAATGAAGATGCCCTCCTCAGACATTTATTCCAAGGTTATCAGAAATGGGTTCGCCCTGTCTTAAATTCTAATGACACCATAAAAGTATACTTTGGATTGAAAATATCTCAGCTTGTAGACGTGGTGAGTAATCCTTGGCACTAATCTAAACAAACAAACAAAAAATGCATTCCTTATAACCTGTTTTTTGAGTCTAAGACTCTTTTCTTTCCCTTGTCTGACATTTCAACTTTAAAAATAATTTATGAAGAAAAGAAAATCTGCCCCCATGGAGCCAGTGAAATGACCCGAAGAAAGAATGTGAAGTCGTCATAGAGTGAATTTTCACTGTGACACTATTACTGTGGGACTTTAAGGCTGAGAGGTGGATGTGGTTGCTAGCTCAGGCCTTGCTCCTAGCAGCGTGGGAAGCTGGACACAAAGGAAGGCAAAACCCAAGGATGATTCAGTGTGACCACAGCTCCTCTCTTTGTGCTCTGGGATGGCAGGGTGCTTGTACCTGCAGGGAGACAGGGCAGTGGTGACTCTACATGGAACAAGGACCATCTCTCTCCCTGGGAAACCCCTTATCTTTCCCTCCACTCTCTGCTCATTTCCCTGTTGAACTCATACTTCTGCCATGATTATGTTCTAGAAAAATCAATGAGCTTAAAACCCAAATGCAGCAGAATCATCCTGATCTGGTTCCCAAAGACTCAAAATAATCCTCCCATGTGGCACAAGTTCCCCCCTCCCCTATCTCACCCACTACAGCTGGCCTCATTCTTTCTAGAAAATCATGCAGAGTTCATCTTCAGTCAAGCTAATACCTCCTTCTATTTTGTACCATTAATATGCCTTCTGTATGTGCAATTTTATATAAGCATTGCCACAATAAACTGCTAATTGTTTTAATAATTATTTTTCGTCTCAAGCAAAATATGCCTAATAGGTTAAGATCCCATGTCATTTAACTGTTCTTAAGTTGAGACTCATGAATACCTCCAAGGTAAGACTCAGGGAGTTCTTTCTTCCTCTTTTTAAATTATTTTTTTGTTCTTGTTTTTTTTATAGTTTTATACATTATAGTTACACATAATAGTGGGATTCATTATGGCATATTCATACATGTACATGATATAATTTGGTTACTCACAGAAAGTTCTTTCTAATGAAAAGACAAACATATAAATTTCCTTCCATTTAAATTTATAGAATCTTTTTAATTGTCCTTTTTTTAGGATGAAAAGAATCAACTGATGACAACAAACGTGTGGCTTAAACAGGTAAATCCAATTCGAGGAGTGTGTCTGCCAATCTAGTCGCTGAAATTCTTTTGTATTTAGACAACCTTCCATCTTAAAAATATTCATTTTAAAAAGCATATTAAGTTCCTCAGGGAGAGATTTGGGAATGGTTGAGAAAGGTCTATTCTCTTTGTTTTCTTCTGTGAGCATTGGTGAGTGGCCCTGCATCTCCTAGGAAGACGTCTTTCTCTGGTGTGGCTTCTGGAAGCAAAACTGTTCCATGGGGTTTGGGCAGGTGGGAGAGTGACTCTGACAGTGAGACTCGGACCTTGGTCCCTGGAGAAAAAGAAAAAAGAGACACCAAGATGCAACTTTCCCCCAATCAGGGTAACTGCTACTGGATGAGAAAAGAAGTGGTGTTAAATTCACCTGTCTTCTCTGGTCCTCCATGGGAAGAATGTACTTCTAATCCCTTATTGTTCCCTAGAAAGAACTGACCACGAAAAGAGGAAATAATAGAAGGCTGCCCATCATAAATTTCTGAAAAAGTGAAGCCCCAAACAAAATACCCAATACATGTTTTCCCAATAAAACTGAAGATGTATTTTGAATAGTTTTCCATTTTCTTCTTGAGTGATAATTCAACCATCACCTGTTTCCTAAAACCAGAGAATTCTGTTCAGAGGCGTTTGTTCTGGAACTGTCAGAATTACCTTTCAAAACCCAATCTTGCATGTTATGTGAAAGGAGAAGATATTGACATTTGTTTGATAATAGCTGATAACTTTAGTTTAATTGCTTATTTTTTTATTTTTGTTTTGTTCACAAATATTTTTTAATGAACATCCAGATGTTGCCTAATCCATCCAGAGGTTTTAAATATTCCACATGGGGATATCTTAAATATCTGACTTAATTGTAACATACATAAGTAATACTTTTCATTTGCTTATATTGAAATAAATTAGTTACCTATTCAAGATTTGTAGATATTGTTCAGTTCTTCCTGCTAATGGCTTATAAGGAAAAATGTATAAAAGAAATTGAAGAGAAGATTACCTAAGTTTTATTTTTCCCACTCCCAAAACATTAATCAGACTTAGAGAATTAATATGCTTATTACCACTTTCTCTTCCTCATTTCTTAATTGATAGATACATGAGCAAATTGTGAAATGAATCTGCATATTATTTTATTTGCAAATAAAAATAAATATCCATGAGAAAATACTAAGCTGGGAATGTATATGTATAAATACAATTTAAACAAACATATCTTGTTATATACCTATCTTATTTCTCTGTGAATTATCTCACTTTTGCAGTTTAGAAGCTGCAGAATTTAGAATTATTTGGAGTTGATAAAGACCAATAAGAAGTTCTATATTTGAGCTTGCAGGAGAGAGAGAAAACCGACACTTTTAAAATATAGTGTACATTTTAAAGTGTAAAGGCTTAGGAAGTTAACAGAAAAAGAAGGCATTTGACCTCAGCCTACATGTGATTTTTACACCTTTTTTTTTTCTTAAAGCTATGAGGGTAAAGAAAGATGAAGGATAAAAAAACGGCATAGAACACTGGCCATAGAGCTGAGTAGCAAAGCACTCGCCTAACATATGAGAGGCCCTGGGGTTCAATCCCCTGTACCACAAATAATAATAACAATAAAACAAAATTGATGTTTAAACAAACTGCTATCATTGGTGTTTTTTGCAGATTTCCATTCTGGCGCAGCTAATAATAATAACTAAGATTTACTGAGTGATTAAGTTCTCAAGCACTATGCTGAGTGTGTCACGGGAATGATCTCATTTAATTCCCTCAGCTACTTTGTGGTTTTATTACTCTCCCTACTCTCTATTATTTTCCTACTAAGCATTAGGAATTTGAATAGACTTGTCCCAGGTCACACACTGCTCAGTGAAGTCTGGCTTTTATAAAGGAATCATTCCCTTATCTTAGACTGAATGGAACAGACGGAGGTGTCCTGTCTTCCTCTCAGTGCCGTTCCTGTATTCTCCTTTCTTAATCCTGGTCTTCAAGACTTTTGATCCTTCAACCTCCAGGACATCTATCTAATGGATCTGGTATAGAAGGATATTTAGGAGAAAATATTCATTCCATCTTCCATTTGTTCAAGAGTATTTAAGAGTATATAGTATAATCTTCACTAAGTACTTGGCACTTTGCTAACTCACTCCCAAGACAAATGCTGCCTTCAAGGAGAAAAAACATTAGTATGCGAAAATATTTAATTAATAATAATGACATCTATAATATGATAAATACCAAAAAGAAGTACATATAAGGTTTTTTTATATGTACTTGTTGCAATACAAATACATATAATGTATATGTCTGTGGCAATACAAAAATGACAGTGAGACAGGGAGAAAGCCAAGGAAAATTCCAAGAGGAAAAGATGCTTAATTTGGGTCTTACAGGACAAACAGAAGTTCTACAAACCTAAAAGGTAGAGAAGTTATGAACCCCATATAGTATGCCCAGTAACAGGACTTTCCAAAACTACTACACCCAAGCCAACCTACTGGAAACTCTTTTCATTGATCCCAGAGTACCTCAGTCAAAATTAAGACCTAAGGGCTCAGTTTCTCCTCTTTCCTCATTTCCTTCCCACATATTGACCAATGCTTGCTTGATTTCTTTTCGGTACTGGGGATTGAGCCCAGGGACGCTTAACCACTGAGGCACATCCTCAGTCTCCTCCCCCTTTTTTATATTTTATGGAGACACAGGGTCTCGTTGAGTTGCTTAAGGCCTCGCTAAATTGGTGAGGCTGGCTTTGAACTCATGATCCTTCTGCCTCAGCCTCCTGAGCCACTAGGATTACAGGCATGTGCCACTGTGCCCGGCCTGACCAATGCTTTCTAATTCATAGCCACAGAGAATAAAATTCTACATATGTGAAACAAAGCATGTTCCATTGTAGCATACAAAACTGACATGCTTGGGGCTTTTTTGTTTGTTTGTTTGTTGTTTCTGTACCTAATCCTCTCATCTGATTCTCTGTTTTCGTAATTCTTCTATGGTATATATTTAAACATTCCTTTTCTATCTTCTCAGCCAAAGGTGTTTATAAAGCACAAATATAGTGACATCCAGAGAAAGCCTATTTTTATTTTATTGATTTTATTTGGCAAACTTGTTTGTCTTGCTTCTTTGTACTTCCAGAGAGTAACAAAAACCCTATAAACCATAAATATATTATTAATATTGACTACATGAGAAAGGTCTTAGTGCCCTAGCACCCTCAGATTCTATACCACCATGTTCAAGGTTAGGAAAACAGCACTGTAAGCATCTTAAAGGAAATGGAAGAAATCACTTTTTGTTTTAGTCAGCTTCTTCACTGCTGTGACTAAAGAACCCAACCAAAACAATTGGAGAGTAGGAAAAGTTTATTTGGAGGCTTACAGTTTCAAAGGTCTCAATCCATTCCTTGGGGCTCAAGGTGAGGTAGGACTTCATGGCAGAAGAGTGTGGCAGAGGAAAACAGCTCACTTGGTGATCAGGAAACAGGGAGAGACTCCACTCTCCAGATACGAATATATATCCCATTACCCTGTCCCCAAGTCTCACCTCCTCCAGCCACACCTTACCACTCCAGTTACCACTCAGTTAATCCCTACCAGGGGATTAATTCACTGATTGGGTTAAGACTCTTACAACCCAATCATTTCTCCTCTGAGCCTCCTTGCATTGTCTCACCTGTGAGCTTTTGGGGGACACCTCACATCTAAACCATAACACCTTTTTTTCTAATGACACAATGTCACAAGGGTAGAACCCTTTGACCTCCACATTATCATGAATAATCACTATGACAGTGAATGTCAGTGAGCTTTCACTGAGAGCCTACTATGTGCTGAGTGGTATGTGCTATACTTGAATACAAGTAGCAGCATAGTAGGTGCATTCACATCAACATCACCACAAATATGAGGAATGCATCCTACTACAACCCTACGTAACAGTCACTATGTTCCTAAACTGGGGGCCAAATTGAGCTGGGACAGCACTGTAGTCCTCGGATGCCAGTTACTGTGACATCATTGCAAAGAATTTGAGTGAAACACAAAGTCATAAGCAAAAGTTTAATAGAGAAAGTGAGAAGCGAAGGTAATGTACAGCATAGGAACTGCACACCCACCTTGAAGAAAGGAGCGTGTGGTGCTCACAGGCTGGAGTTTTTAAGGAAACTGAGTCCTTTGTTCCAGCCTCGATTTCCCTGTCCCCCCTTATTTAGTTTATTACCCTTTGGATAGCTTTCAGCAAGCTTTCTTTGTGAGGGTCTCAATATTCTGGTAGACAGGATGGTTGTGGCATAGTTTACATAATAAGGGAAGGTTCCAGTAACTTGGTTGCAAGAGATAATGATGACATTTTCTGAAAAAAAAAATAGTGCCCCCTGAGGGGTTATAATTAGCTGTAGCTGGTGTGTGGGGGAATGTTTCGATATACCAGAAACCACTTCTCAGATGCTCATCTGTTTCAGTTAAGGTCACCAGGATTTTAAGTAATAATTCCCTCCAGGGTTTATAATTCTCTACAGTTTGTGGAAGATTAGACATTCAGATCTCATTCCCAAATGCTTGCCCAGTTACATAAAGTTCCCCACTGTTTCTGTTTTATGATTCCTGAATTTTTCTTGGTGCATAGGCCTGATATCTATCCTTCATCATCCTTTCCCTCTACCCACTTATTCGTGGCCAACTAATCTACCTAACAACCAGGTGATAAGAATCTTTCAGCATCATTATAATCTATGGGACCACTGTCACATATATAGTCTGTCATTGACCAAAATGTGGTATGTGACCCATGACTTAATTTGCTTATTTTTACCTTTTAGTCTTAGTATTACAGGAAGAATCATTTGAGGAATTTATTTACAGTAAAAACATCTTATGATTTCAACTTAAATAAAAAAAATTGGTTTTGCATTGTGGTAATAGGCATTTATGAGTGATATTCTAGGTAACATATGTCAAAAAAGACAATTTTAAGAGAATATGGACTTGATATGAGTTTGAAATTGCACTTTTCCAAGTTAAGAAACCTAGACTTGGAATATTTTTCCTTTTTTAAAAAAATTTCTTAGTCATGGATTAACTTTTGATATTTTCTCTGATATAGCCTGTCTTCTTTGTTTCCTGCAAAACGACAGCTCTCAAACCAGGAACGTCTGCAACATTGAGCTGATGTTTGTGAAGGGCTTTGAGAGTCTTAGTTAGAACATGCTACACAAACATGGGATATTATTTCTAATCTTTTAGTATAAAAAGAGAGGGACAGGAGGTTAATCTCCAGTTGCAGTCAGGGCTTTAGAGAAATGACCAGAAATATCCCACAGCTCCTAAGAGCACAAGATAGAGGATTTGGATTTTGAATCCTCAGCTGGCTGCTGGCTACAGCACTCCCTGTAATGTGTACTGTTTTCCACCCACAATCATCCTGGGGTTTGGGACCCAGCCCATGGTAAGTGCTCAATCTGGTAGAAACTGGTTGCCTCCCACCCCCATGGGCATCTCAGGAATGAACTCTGATTCCTCAGGGCTGGTTATGAAAGGTCACCAAGGTTGTGAGGAATATCTCCCTCAACCCTGCAATACAGCATAAAGGGTAAAGATTAGTGATTTGTCTAAATTGTATAAATAGCAAAGGTTAATCCAGATGTGCAACTCAGAGTTTTAAATTCTAATTCAGTGTGCTTCCTGTTTTAAGTATACCAAAGTAAGTAGCATTAACCAAAGTCCCACCTAGCCCCCTTTTCTATATGGTTAGGAATGCAGCCTGATTGCACTATAGATCTCTTCATATCCCCAAGGATTCAGACACATCCCTCATTCATCACTCATTCCTCTATATCAGCTTTCACATAGGCTATTCCACCTACAGCCAATCTTCTGCCTGCCCCACACCACCACCTAGTGCTCTGACTGCTTCTCACCTTTCATATCTCAGCTGAAATGTCACCTCATCAGAATTACTTGCCCTATCTACTCCTTTGTTCTGTACCATGCGCCCAATCCATCTGCTCCATAACAACAAGGTGTGGGTATTATGTGTTAGTTTGCTTTTTTATTTTCTGAATCAGACCCTGGCCAGGAGTACATTACAGCAGGTGCAAGCACAGTGCTCAGTGCTGGGGAAGCTTTACATATTTGTTAAATAAATGAATTCCTCGAAAACCATGAATCCCATCCACATTATCCCTGGCCACAGCTGCTAATCCTACTGTTGGAAGTCAGGTAAGCAAGATGAATCTTTCTGGCTTAGAAATCTCTCCCCCTGGGGTCTGCCCCAGTTCCCTTAGAACAATTTGTAGAATTGGTATTTGTTTGCTGCAGTTTGCAACAAAGCAGAAACCTTAGAATTTTTGCCATTCTCTCTCCTGCTTTTCAGGGAAGAGCTGGGTGTAGGTAAAAACCCATTGTGTCTGTAGAAGGAAGCAAAGTGGATCTGAGAACAAGACAATTTCATTTCCAGCAATCTTTATGCCCCAAACAGAGGACTGTAGGTTGGTCTCATTAGCTGTGTTCAGTCATGTTATTTTTTTTAAAGCTGGGCCTAGAGTATAAAAGCACAGCTCTGGCCAAACTCCCCAAGCTTAGCTGTCTCTGGTGTTCTTGGCTGTGTGCTGCAGCTTGATAACCACTCAGCTTCTTCCTAGGATCAACTGAGAACATCTTACTTGCAAGTGAAAGGCAACCTAATCCAAATTAGCATCAGCATATAGAAAGTTTACTGGCTCTTCCACTTCCATTCTGTTCACCCAATGCTGCTGAGTTGAGAGTGGGACAAGGTGGTTCCCTACAATGAAAGGGGTCTTCTAAAAATGCAGTAATAAGAAAATAAACAACCCAAGTAAAAAATATGCAAAAGATTTGACATTTCACCAAATAAGATGCATGAACAGTAAATAAGGAAATTGCATTTTAAAAACTACTAAGAGGGCTGGGGATGTGGCTCAGTGGTAGAGGTAGAGCACTCGCCTCATACATGTGAGGCACTGGATTCGATCCTCAGCATCACATAAAAATAAATAAGTAAAATAAAGGTAAAATAAATAAATAAAAACTACTAAGAGATACCATTCACATCTATTTAAATATGGAGAAACTTAACAATGTGATTATAGCAAGTGCTGAAGAAGATGAAAACAACTGGAACTTCCATACATGGCTAGTGGGAATGAAAAATAATTCCTCCATCTGGAAAGCTGGCTGTATGGTGTAAAATTAAGCAGATAGTTACTCTATTGTTAAGTAGATAGTTAATCTATTGTTACAGAGCTGGGGACTTCTGAGAAACTGAGGCAGCATGAAGATTCCCCCCTTCAAACACTAATTCTTTTTTTGGGGGGTGGGGAGGTTACTGAAGAGTGAACTCAGGGGCACTGAGCCACATCCCCAGCCCTATTTTGTATTTTAGTTAGAGACATTGAATTGCTTAGCACCTGACTTTTGAACTCACAACCCTCCTGCCTTAGCCTCCTGAGCTGCTGGGATTATAGGCATGCACCATCAAACCCTAATTCTTGAGATCAAGTCAGAAAGATTTCAGACACGTCACTCAGAGTCACAGGAATGAGTTTATTGAAGCAATAGGAAAAGGGAAAGAGGTCCCTCTTAAGGGAGAGTGTGGGTCCTCTCAGAGAGGAGAGGGCCAGTGTGTCTCTCCTGCACTCCAGTTTTATTGGGGATCCCAGAGAAGTTTTCCAGAGATCCCACCTAGGTCCATCTCCAGACTTTTGACTGACAGCAAGATGACATCAGACTTTCGAGTACCCACTGCCATCACAACTTTAGGTCACTTTGTCCCGTGCTGACCACTTCTAATTGAATACTAACCATACATTCCTCTGATTTTATGGTTAGAAGGAATTATCCTTATTTTCCTGAGTTTTGAAATCTGGTCTATGAAAAGGGTCACAAAATCTTCCTGCCTCACTGTAACTTGGGTTCCTTATATCAATATTATTTTGGGCCTGCATTTCTCTGCAGGTAACAGATAGTTTGCTGAGGAATGTGACATAGGCTGTTCACTTAGGCCAAGCAGGGCAACCGGTAAATTGTTTCTTAGAAAAAAAGCATATGGGGGTCAGCACAATGGGCCCTTTTTATAGAATTATTTCCGTAACCTCGTGTTCTCACCATTCTCATCTGTCTGTCCCCTCACACTATGACCCAGCCATCCTATCCTATTGACCCAAGAGAAATAAGAATTTATTTAACCCCCCAAATATATTAAACATTAACAATGGCTTTATTTACAATCATCAAAACCTTGAAAGAATCCACATATCCTATTGGTGAAGGGATAAAGTGTGGTACATTCATACAACGCAATACTGCTCACTCATAAAAATGAAGAAACCACTGCCAAGACGGCATAGAGGACTCCAAATGCACTGCTAAATAGAGGTCAGGATCGACAAGCTGCATGATTTCATTTGTAGGACATGTTGGAAAAGGTAAAATTATAGAGACAGGAAAATCAACAACTGCCAGGTAAATAGAGAAGCCTTAGAGCACCAAGTGCCTACGTAAATACTTTAAATTGTCAACCTATGTAAGAGTGATAAAAGGTTTTTTTTTTCTTATGCTTTAGATTTTAGCTTTTAAAAGGCCTCTTAGATCAAATTTTGTTTAAGATAGTGTTTCATCTGGAATTTACAGGCATCATGCATATTTCAGTATTTTACCTCCTAGTGGAGTCATCCATCTGCCAGCTCTTGACTTTTTAATGGCAAAGTTGGCATCAAAGGGCTCAAGGAAGCATCACGCTGGGCACACCCTTCTAACTCTTGGAAATGTCAGTTAACATTATTCTACATGGTTACTCAGCTATCCTCATGAGAGACAATGGAATGGAAGAATTTAATTTTCAGGTCAGATTTCATAAGAGTCTGGATCCAAAATTTTAACATAAAGTTCACTTCTGCTGTAACTGGGTCATCCATATATCATCCTCATTTGTGCCCTTCCCCTTCCTCCACCTCCTCCTTCTTCTTTGTATAACAAAATAATTTGTATTTCAGCACAAAAATACTCCAGGCATAACTACATTAGAAGGCACAATGAAGTACCAAAATGCTTGCAACTTCTAAAAAGGATGTTTTCATTTACAGACGTGAGACAGGCAAATATTTTTTTTCCACATCAGAAGAAATCAAAGTTTAGAATTTATGGGGATATCAAAATAAAAACTAGAGTATTCAGTATTTATAAGAGACATGCAAAAATACTTAACATACATCATACTCATGACTTTCATAATGCAGTCAATTAATAGTTAAGTTTTTTTGATCTGGTTCCAACAGCCCTATAAAACATGCTAAATAATTTCCTCTGTATGAAGAGAAAAATGTAAGCATATGGAGGATAACAATATTAGGCATATAAATTTAAACCATAATTAGGAGTTGCAAAATAAACTCAGATTTAACCATGCTAGGAATTGAACACAGAGCCTGATACATGTTATGCTGTGCTCTACCAATGAGCTACACCCCCAGCTCTCTGGATATTTCATATTAAAATAATATGTGGATGTTAATCCAAGACTCTTGAGTGATGTTCACTCGTGTACTTATGATCGAGAGATGAAAATCTCACTGGATCAGCCCTCCCAAAATAAACTGAATTAGATATATCATTGCTTTTCTTTTGTTTGTTTCTTAAGAGAAAATAGACTGAAAAGATACTTTAGGAATAATGGCATTTGTTGTTAAACCTCTTCATTGTGAAATCAACAAGGAGACAAGATGTAGGCCTAGGAGAGATCAGTTGTATTCCAGATTTCCAGGTAGGGTTATAAGGTCTAACCTGGTGAATTCCCATTCTTAACAAAATAATGGATTGGCAAATTAACAGAAACTTAAATATCCTAATGTTTAACATGAATTTTCAGAATAAAATTACAATATACTCATTTCCTGCAGGAATGGACAGACCACAAATTACGCTGGAATCCTGATGAATATGGTGGAATTCATTCAATCAAAGTTCCATCAGAATCTCTCTGGCTTCCCGACATAGTTCTCTTTGAAAAGTAAGTATTACAGAAGAAGGTCACATTAGATATATTAACACTGGTATAGAAAAGTCTGGGGCAAAAACATAAGCAACAAATGCAAAAGAGAAGAAGAAAAAGAAAAGCCTGGGGCAGAATAATTAAGAGAAATTCACGGCTTCACAAAATAATTGTTTCTTTTTAAAACAGTGTTTAACATTGTAGTAGGAAAGTAATAAAAGTAAAGTAATACTGTGTTGGAGGGGAAAAAACTCAAACTCAAAGGTGTTCAACTAACTTAAAAACTAATTAACTAGTAGGAATATAATAATGGTAACTAATAAACAAACTAAAGAACTAATAAGTGCTCAACTAACTAACGTGAATCTACTTTTATGACAGTGCAGATGGACGTTTTGAAGGCTCCCTCATGACCAAGGTCATAGTAAAATCTAATGGAACCGTCATTTGGACCCCTCCCGCCAGTTATAAAAGTTCATGCACCATGGATGTTACATTTTTCCCATTTGACCGGCAGAATTGTTCAATGAAATTTGGATCCTGGACTTATGATGGTACCATGGTTGACCTTATTTTGATAAATGAAAATGTTGACAGAAAAGACTTCTTTGATAATGGAGAATGGGAAATACTAAATGCAAGAGGAATGAAGGGAAACAGAAGAGATGGTTTATATTCCTATCCATTCATTACTTATTCTTTTGTCCTGAGACGCCTGCCTTTATTTTACACTCTTTTTCTGATAATCCCCTGCCTGGGTCTGTCTTTTCTAACAGTTCTTGTGTTCTATTTACCTTCCGATGAAGGTGAAAAACTTTCATTATCAACATCTGTTCTGGTTTCTCTGACAGTTTTTCTTTTAGTAATTGAAGAAATAATTCCATCTTCTTCAAAAGTCATTCCACTCATTGGAGAGTACCTTTTGTTCATTATGATTTTCGTTACCCTGTCCATTATTGTTACTGTTTTTGTAATTAATGTTCACCACAGATCTTCTTCGACTTACCATCCCATGGCCCCTTGGGTGAAGAGGCTATTTCTGCAAAAACTTCCTAAATTACTCTGCATGAAGGACCATGTGGATCGCTACTCTTTCCCAGATAAAGATGAGAGTAAACCAGTAGTAAAAGGTAAAGCCCTGGAAAAAAAGAAACAGAAGCAGCTTAGCAATGGAGAAAAAGTTCTGGTTGCTTTTCTGGAAAAAGCTGCAGAGTCCATTAGATACATTTCAAGACATGTGAAGAAAGAACATTTTATCAGCCAGGTGAGTAAACTGTAGTTACAATAATGCTGCCTTTGAGTTGTGCAAAAGACTACTATTTCAACATTTATTTGTAACAAAATACTGTCATTGTTTTAAATGTGACATTATTATTTATCATCTTTACATGCACAACATTTAAAACAAACCCTGACTTACAATAGGGATCTTAGTAGACTAAGCATGATTCCTTATAATTCCTCAATTCTATTTTAAATAATTAAATCATGCTTTTTCAATTGGATATCCTGGTGTCTGGTCATTTCTCTCTCATTTTTCATGGGATGTTAGATGTTTTCATATATAGTATTTAAGGGGGGGGGAGCCAGAAAGAATAAAATTTAAAATTAACATAAAATTTAGTAATTAGCTATTTTGTTGAGGGAAGAGTATCTTGTTATTTAGTTTACAGATTTAAAAGAAAAAGTATAAAACAATGTGGTGACAAATACTTCTAGTCCCAGCTACTCAAGAGGCTGAGGCAGGGTGACTACTTGAGCCCAGGAGTTGGAGACCAGTCCGGGTGACACAGTGAGACTCTACCTCAAAAAAAAAAAAAAAGTGGATTTCAAACTCAAAACCATGCTAGACTCAGATCCTACACCCATGCTGTATGACTCAACTGTAGCTTCTGTTTTCTAAAACCTACCTTAAAGAGTATGATGAAGAATAAATGAAAGAAAGTGTAAATTATGCAATGTGTGCTCAGCATATGTGCTTAAACAAGTCCCATCTTTATATCAATTTATAGGGTTCAATTATTGTATTCTAAAATTGGTGAAAATTAATGCCAAGAGCCAGCACCATAAATAAGCTTACAGAAGAACTTTTTTTTGGAAATATTCTTCTATATTTTATCTTGCCCACACAGACCTTTCCTTCACTGCTTGTCACGTTTTTCATCTACTTGAAATTTATTTTTAAATGATGGAAAAATTACTGCTGCTACAAAACAAGCATTTTTGGCTATTAAGTAGGAGTTTTGTGTGCCTTTTCTTTATATCTTTAAAAAATACTATTGCAAAGATTTAAATAGTTTTTTTAAAATTATAAAAATAACATGTTTTCTTGTATTATTTCATTGACTAGACTGCTCATTCCTTTGGTTTGGAGCTCTGTACCTTCCTGTATCCCAATTATCTCACTCCAGTAAGATTGGCAGCCATTAGGAAGTCAAACAACAACAAGTGCTGGCGAGGATGTGGGGAAAAGGGTACACTTGTTCATTGCTGGTGGGACTGCAGATTGGTGCAGCCAATTTGGAAAGCAGTATGGAGATTTCTTGGAAAGCTGGGAATGGAGCCACCATTTGACCCAGCTATTCCCCTTCTTGGTCTATTCCCTAAAGACCTAAAAAGAGCATGCTACAGGGACACTGCTACATCGATGTTCATAGCAGCACAGTTCACAATAGCAAGACTGTGGAACCAACCCAGATGCCCTTCAATAGACGAATGGATAAAAAAAATGTGGCATTTATACACAATGGAGTATTACTCTGCATTAAAAAATGACAAAATCATAGAATTTGCAGGGAAATGGATGGCATTAGAGCAGATTATGCTAAGTGAAGCTAGCCAATCCCTAAAAAACAAATGCCAAATGTCTTCTTTGATATAAGGAAAGTAACTAAGATCAGAGTAGGGACAAAGAGCAGGAGAAGAAGATTAACATTTAACAGGGATGAGAGGTGGGAGGGAAAGGGAGAGAGAAGGGAAATTGCATGGAAATGGAAGGAGACCCTCAGGGTTATACAGTGGAGGGGGTAGAGAGAGAGGAGGGGAGGGGAGGGGAGAGGTGGGGAAGGGGGAGGGTGGAGGATGGGAAAGGCAGCGGAGCACAACAGACACTAGTATGGCAATATGTAAATCAATGGATGTGTAACTGATGTGAGTCTGCAATCTGTGTATGGGGGGAAGGTGGGAGTTCATAACCCACTTGAATCAAAGTGTGGAATATGATATGTCAAGAAATTTGTAATGTTTTGAACAACCAACAATAAAAAATAAAAAAAAATAAAAATAACATGTGATTACTATTGGGAATTTGGAAAATTCAGAATAATGTAGACAAGAGGAGTAAAATTGTAATACGGAGCTTGGAGTTGGATAGATTCTTTGTCTTAAAATTCAAAGAATGAGATTCCACGGATAGCAACGGGCAAAAGCAAAGTATAAGAATGTATTAAAGCTAAGGGAAGCTAAGCTCCTGTGACTGGAAGGGGACCCCAGAGGGTTGCTAGTGAATGGCTACTGTCTAGGGATTTATATGGATCTAGAGGTTTAAGGAAGTCAGCTCCTGGCCCAATCCTGGATAAGGCACTCAGTGTCCACAAGGTATTCATGCAGGCTTCAGACTGATCAAAGTATTGATCAGGCATTTTCCTTCTTTGAAGAGGCTGTGCACTCCAGGTCATGTTCATACTGATTTAAAAATAGCCTTTTTGCAAGTTTCTCAGCAAAAACCTGCAGCTGTTTGTGCTCTGCTCCACAGAAAGTTGCCCCGGGGCCCATTTCCCTATTTGCCTAGCCTTATCTTTTCCTCCTGACTTCAAAATCATTAATGATCCCAGCACTTTTATAAGGTTGACTTTTTAAATATTTTAATGTATCTTCTTTGAGTGCATTTCCCCCAAGGTCTTGTTTCTTAACCTCTGTAAGCTTGGAATACATTTCAGTTCAATGCCAGTAGCTTCCTGCAGTAGCAATCTGTGTTCTGCCTCCCCTCTCATATGGCAGGCCGGCTTCCTGTTCTATTCCATTTTTACAGAATCCCATATACACTTGCTCCTCAACTAACAATGGGGTTGCATTTCAATAAACTCATCATAAGTTGAAAATATCCTAAGTCGTAAATGCATTGAATCTAACTAACCTATCAGACGTCATAGCTCACCAACATAGCACCCTGTAGAATGTTTGTCCCCCTACCAAACTGCCAACCTGACCGTGGAGCTGACTAGGGGCTGCAGCTGATGTTAGCCTGTAAGGAATAATAATAAAGAGAGACACAGACAGGGTGCAGAGGCAGGGAAGGTGGCAGAGTATCTCCTCGTCCAAGTGGCCATGTTTATTTATACCAATAGGTTACATTAGTTCATTAGTATTATAACCACATTATTGTTTAGAGTATCAGTAAGGTTGCTTATTCTGCAGTTACATTTCACAGTTAACATATGTAATGTTAGGAGTTTTGTGGAGCTCTCAAGAAGGTCCGTTGTCTGAAGTTATTGTTAGGCAGGCAGCTCCAGGAACACCAGAGCTTAGTGAAACATTGTAGTTATCAAGCAAGCAAGTCCTTTACTCCCAGGAGCTATGTGCCTGCAATCAAGGTCAAGGCTTGATGAGGCTCTGACACAGAGGCATCTCAGGGCATTGCCATACAGCTAGACATTGCACATATATTAGCTATGTTATTAGATCCTAAGAGAGATTACCAGGCCTTATAAGGGTGGGAAACAGTGTGCATGTTACCCCCGGGAGTTTTCTCACCAGGGGAACGCTTCTCTGTACATTTTCACCATCAGAATCCCTACATTAGCCAGAACCAAGATTGAGGATGGCACTGCATATCCTTAGCCCCAGGAAAGATGCAAATTCAAAATCTGAAGTACAATTTTTACTAAATGAGTATCTTTGTAGCATCATTATAAGTTGAGAATTTGCTGTTGAACCATGGTAAATCAGGGACCAGTAGAAAGGGAACATTTATTTCCCCTTAAAATATGGGAACCCACTCTTCCCTTTCAGACTTACTATTCTTGCTGCTTGATCCTGCTGTGACCTCTCTCAGTTAAGCCTAGTGTTTATTCCACCCCAATTTCCCTTTCTAGCTACATAAGCTCTTCATTTCCTCTCTCCCTTAAGAATGCCTGTCTTCCCCTGGTCGTTTCTCTGTGGCAGTGTCTGTCATTCTGGACCTGTGGCAGCAGATATATTAGCTTTTCATTTGTGGAAAAAGTAATGTTTATAAATACATAAATAATTCTATTGTTTTTATTTTACTTTTTAAATATTGATGAGAGTATTTCTGTATATTCAGCTTACAAGCTGTTTTCTTTGGGCACAATTAGTAAAATCACTGGATAGAATTTGAGCCTATTATCATGTGCAATGTGTTAGGTGAATTTGAAAACTTAAGTGCTATAAATCTGAATATTACTCTTTTTAAATTACTTAAAGAATTCAGAATAGTTGCCCAGCATCTTGAATGAGAGGTATCTTTTTCTCTTTTGCAGGTAGTTCAAGATTGGAAATTTGTAGCTCAAGTTCTGGACCGAATCTTCCTGTGGCTCTTTCTAATAGTGTCAGTTACAGGCTCGGTTCTTATTTTCACACCTGCTTTGAAGATGTGGCTACATAGCTACCATTAGGAACAAGTCTCCAGAACCATTTAGAAGACATAGTATAAAGACAAAAATCACACCTTAGAACTGATACGTGGCTAGTATGTGCATAGAATCCACATGCACTTGCTTATCCTAAGAGCCACAGTTGTATAGTCTTTACAGATATTAAGCATCATTGATGAGAGAAACTTGAGTAAATGTGGGTTTGCCCAAGTTATTTGGTGACCACTGAAGTGAGTTGGTTTTACAGAATTCAAGAAGGCCTCCAAGTCATGCCATTTGTGAGGGCAATCCCTGGAGCTCCTGCATCTATTCATCTTCCTGTGGTCTGGTCTGAGTTGCAAACTGGGCCTTGAGGTGCTTCTCTAGAAATGTGGATGAATAAATATCAACAATGGTTTGGGAAATTATTCTGGTCCAACCACACCTGGTACAGCACACTTATTATTACACAGATTCTAAGATGCGACTGGTCAACTAATGTTCCTCATAATGTGGCTTTCATTGAAAGATTACCTTGATTGAATAATGTAGACCTCTAAGGCAGGTATTATTTGTGATTTATTCATAGCCTTATAAAGCTTTTCCTAAAGGTGAAAGTAGAAGCCTGCTGTCAGTTGTGACTTGCTTTAAAATCATATCAAAATAATTTACAATAGAAACAAAGTCATCTACTACCAGAAGTGTATCCATTAATACTCATTTATCATTTCCTAGGAAAGTAAAGTTCTGAATATTCTCTGATAATGGTTTTTGGTGTCTCCTCATTTAAAGGAATCTATTCCACCAGAGTCCTCTGTGTTTCCCAGTCTGTTTCCATGTGTGTCCCTGTCCCGAGGCTGTGCTTTATCCCCTACCTCCACCATTAAAACTCTGAGGAAATGTCTATTCAGATTGGTTTTTGCCATCACTGCCATCAAATCCTTCTGAACTTTAGCTTAAAGCAATTTTCTCATTACCCATTTATAAATCCAAATTCCACCAAGCATGGTGCCTCATGCCTATAATCCCAAGGATTTGGGAAGCTGAGACCAGAGGATTGCAAGTTCCAGGTCAGCCTCAGCAACTTAGTGAAACCCTAGGAAACTTTGCAAGATCCTGCCTCAAAATAAAAAATAAAAAGGACTAGGGATGTAGCTTAGTGGTAAAACATCTGTGGGCTCAATCTCCAATAGCAATAAATAAATTCAAATCCTTTTCTGGAGTATTTAGGCATGCATAGCTCTTCTTCTTCTTCTTCTTTCTTTCTTCTTCTTCTTCTTCGGATTGAACCCAGGGGTGCTTAACCACTGAGCCACATCCCCATCCCCTTTTTGTACTTTATTTAGAGACAGGGTGTCACTGAATTGTATAGTGCCTCACTAAATTGCTGAGGCTGGCTTTGAACTCTTGATCCTCCTCCCTCAGTCTCTAAAGCCAATGGGATTAAAGGTGTGTGCCACCATGCCTGGCGTACCATGCATGGCTTTTGTAAATAGCTTGTAGCCTGAACTTTTAAAAAAACCAACCTAGCCAGGCTTGATGGTGCACTGTTGTAATGCAAGCAGCTTGGGAGGCTGAGGCAGGAGGATCAAAGGAGGATCAGAAGTTCAAAGATAGCCTCAGCAACTTAGTGAGATCCTGTCTCAAAAGAAAAAGGGCTGGGAATGTTGCTCAGTGATTAGGTGCCCCAGAGTCCAATTCCTGGTAGAAAACAAAACAAAACAAAAATAATTTAAGGGTTTGACCCATTGTTATCATTGATGTGTTTAGTTACTCATGCAATTTTTAATTTTTTTTTAGTTGTAGATGAACACAATAGCTTTATTTATTTTTTCATTTTGATGTGGTGCTGAGGATCGAACCCAGTGCCTCACACATGTGAGGCAAGTGCTCTACTCTTGAGCTACAACCCTAGCCCCTACTCATGCAATTTTTGTTCTCTGTAATATTTTTTCCTAAACTAAGTTTTCTCTTAAATTCTCAGTATTAATTGAGTTTATCTGTTCTTTCTTTTCCTTTAGTGGTTGAAGATTATATGTTCACTTTTATTAATTTATTAATAAACATTTCAAAATCTTCCTGTCAATGCTGAGAATCACTGTCAATAGTTATCACTTTCTAAACAAAACAAGACCCTTAGCATCTTTACCTACCCCCTTTCTTTATCACCTTCCATGTTTTATTAAAATCATCCAGAATTTTAGCTCTAGATTATTTTTATATTATGTGTCACCCTTCTTAAGAATACTTTATTGACAATATAGCTTGTCTACAAACACATTATAAATACTTTTATATCTTTGTTCACCATTTTTTGTCCTATTTACCTCTTTCTCTGATTTCAGAGGAACATGTCTTCAAGTAACTTTTATTTTTTTGAGACAAGGTCTTGCTATGTTGCCCAGGCTAGTTTTGAACCCCTGAGTTCAAGTGATCCTCCTGTTTCAGCCTCTTGAGTAGCTGGGGATACAATTATACACCACTACATCCAGCTCCAAGTAATTATTTTAGAAAGTTTTTTAATGTGACAACATTTCTGAGTCCTTATATTTCTGAAATTGTAACTTCTGCACGGAATTCTAGTTCAAAATTATTTTCCTTTAGAACTTTGAAGACATTATTTTGTAATAGTCCATATAAACAATGAGAGACATAGTGAGGTAGACTCTTTTATTTCGTATGTGTTCCTATTTTTTTCCTTCCTAAAACTTTTATGTTTTTTTTCTTTATCTTTGGACTTTAGAAACGTCACCTCTATAGAGTTAAATACAGGACTCTCTCTCCCTCCTTCTCTCTCTCTCTCTCTCTCTCTGGCATGGCACTTGATGTCTGATATTTTTCTTCAAATCATGCAAATTTTCTTTTCTTATTTCTTTTATTATTTTCTGTCTTCCATTCGCTCTCTCTTTTCTTTTTGAGATTTCTAATAGAGAGATCTTGGTATTCCTTGATTTGTCCTCCATGCTTATTAGCTTATTAACTTTTCCCTCACACTTTTTTTTTCCCTCATACTTTTTAATCCTTTAACTCTTTACATTGTCAGATTGAGATGACAGCCAACAAACTTGAGTTTCAAGTCATGGTCTATTCTGCTACTCAGCCCATTTCCTGAGATGGGGTTCTTGTCTGCTTCTTTGTGGATCAATCATGCATTTGATTTTTAAGAACTCTGATTCTTTATGGATGTCATACTCTGTAGAATATTTGGGGAACTACTAATTATAATTACTGAGAAGTCTTTTGTTGTGTATATACATTTTTCCTCCGGAATTAATTCTTCTGTTGACTTTTGATACTTTTTGTGTTCATTTTACTCTAATATTTGATGATTTTTAATAGTGAAAACTGTAACTATAGAAAATCTGGCTTCTATAATAGTATGGGGAAGCTTTTCTTTTCTTTCTGTGTCCAACCAGCCAGTTTTCTAGGGTTTGTGAGTGGCTTATCTTCTGCTTTGGGGGTTAACCTTTCCTTGATAATAGCCATAAGTAATCTTGGCCACTGCCTGATTCTTCTAATCCAGTGCCCGCTCTTCTCTCTCATGTGTCAGAATGACCACATTAGTGGGGATGGACAAAAAACATTATGAAAATACAGAAGTGTTGTAGCTGTCCCTTGGTCTTTCCCTGCCTTAGTAATTCCATTTCATTTTCAAGACTCTTCTTCCTATAATCTTAGCATTATTTGGGGCATTTGCTAAAAAAATTCTTTGGCAGCTCCCTCTTTGCTTTATGGAGCACAAAATCCACTGCTTTATCAGATTTTACCATAAATCTCTCCTCATCTGCCCTATACATTTCAGACATTCCCTGACTGTCTGGTCTGTGAAGGTATCTTAGCCCACTTTCCATGGCTCTTTCGAACCTTATAACAGTCATTTTATTTTATGTTTCTTATGAAATAGTAATAGAATTTGAAGAACAAAAACACAAACAAAACCAAAGCAAAGCATGAAAGCCCTCACACATATCATCAGCCACACGTCTTGCACTAGAATTCTTTTCTAGATTCTAATTCCTATTAATGTAGGACAGAAGAAGCTGGATATCTGGAGAATTTTCAGGAAGCTCATTTATTGGCTGTAGGGTCCAGAGGGCCTATTGCCTAAAAATTTCTCTGGACCTTGAATCTGGAATTCCATTCTTGGGACTTTGTACCCAATGGGAGGAGGGATTTGAAGGTTTACATGACAATGTTTTCTGTCCCATTTTTTAGATTAGTCAGAGGTTTTACAAGTTTTACCACAAAAGAAGAAGTAACATCATCATGTCTGCAGCCAAACTTAGGTTTTGCAAGACAGAGCAATTTAGTCCTCACAAAAAATTAGGAAGTCCTAACCCACATTGCATTTTTTTTCCAGAAATTTTTGCAAATATTCTGTTAATGCGAACAATTATGGTGAGGGTCTCTGAAGAAGCTTAATTAAGATTCTTTGGTGGAGGAGGGAATGCCACTACATTACAGACTTGTCCAGTTAAAAATGGCAACCAAAAACCACCAAAGATGCATTGTACCCTGAGAATTGTGGAACTGACTGCTTTAAGAACTCTGGATCATTTTAACTGTGCAGACTGATGAATGCTGGACACAGATGGGGACTGAAAAATGACTGTTGGAAACAGACTTTCTAATTTATTGTTGGGGGGAGAGAAATATGGGCACAGCTTGTAATTCATGATCCACAAATGTTGGTAGACTTGGCAGGAGGGTGTGTCCATTTTAGTGGAATTTTTTTTTTTTTTTTTTTTTTTTTTTTTTTGCATCTTGCTATTTAGTCTCCTGAACATTTGCAGTATTCTCCTAAATGTTTTTGGTTCTAGTCAGATCTCCATTTTGTTCATACTAAACTTATTTTCATACCAGATCTTTTCTACCCCATGCCCTTGCTCTTTCCTCCTGGAAATTGTTCCTTTAATTACCCTCCCTCTCTTGTATGGCGCTCTTTTCTAGACCTACAAAATGCTCAGATATGCTTTATTCTTAGAACAAATATATATATATATATATATATATATATATATATATATATATATATATAAAACAGAAATAACAGAATTTTAAAAAATAGCCTGGACTTTTCAAGAGATTCATGCCATTCGAACCATCCTCAAAAGCAATTATAGATTCCAAAAAAAGAACTCACATTTATATGTCTTTGAAGGTTATATTTAAAACACAGTATTTAGCATGATCAATGTATTATGTTTTCAATTTATACCAAATTTTGAACCGTATTTTTGTGTATTACATACAAACATTATGGAACACTGGGCTCTTCATATGATCCACATATTATTCATTACTCTTCTGCACGTTTTGCTGGATTTTTTTTAAGAGGAGGCAACATAGTAAACAAAAATCAGGGCTTTAGGACTCTTAGGTTCTAGGCCAGTCATGAGCTATCTGTGTGAGCCATGGGGCTTCAGACTAGTTATTTGTCCAATATGAGTTTCAGTTTCTTGGTCAGTAATAAAAGGTTATGCTCTATGACCTGTGAAGCACTTCTCTGCTCTAAAAGTCTCTACTTTGGAGATTTATACTGAAGCTTTCACCATTTTAAACCACACACACTCTTCTAATTGCAACTTTGTTCCTTTGGGATAAAATAAGCTGCTTTGTCACTACCTTAGGACAGGATTTGCAGGAATGCATTTTGATGAAAATCAAGAATTCTGTCCTTACAGCCTTGATGGGTTTGTGCATTCAAAGGTCAAGTAATTATTGTCCCTTTTATTTAAAATATTA